AGCAGGAAACTACAAGCAGCAACCAACCATCCAACTCATCCCTCACCTATTTATTCAGAGCTGTGATAATAGCTCAGTGACGTTCCCACCCTGGAGGTTCTCGAAGGTACATGAAGGTGTGTGATAGAGCCCTGGGCAGTCCAAAGTTACCTAAAGTAGAATCCCAAAACTCTCCTGTTAAACGGGTTACATTTGGGTAACCCACTTATGAGCACTCCACACCTTCAGAGCAGTTAAGGGTGCTCTTAAAAGGAAAGGGGTTCCAGGAGTCTGCGCAACTTCTGAAAGGAACACCCAGAGGCTGAAGCCTTGTTTGGCTGGAAGGAGGAAGGACAGGCACAGGCCTTACCCGATCCTCTTGTTCAGCCTTCCCTCTTTCCAGCAGCCCGGCCTTGGCACGGTCCAGGTTGGTAGCCAGCCCAGTGATGGTGATGATATCCGACTGCAGCTCAGGAGCAGGGACCTGGATGTTCACCTGAGTAACAAGTAGCCATTACCCTTTTGTATCACTGCTCACTGCAGGTTGGCATCTCGCTGATCTCCCCCGCTGCCAAAACCAGCTCCCTCCCAGACAGCCTGAACCAGAGAATCACAGAATGGCTGAGGTTGGAAGGGACCTCTGGAGGTCATCTGGTCCAACCCCCCCTGCTCAAGCAGGGCCACCTAGAGTTCAGTTGCCTGGGACCTTGTCTAGATGGTTTTTGAACAGAACCCTGTTTCTTTAGCCCTTATCTATATCAGATTGCTTTGCTGCAGGGCTTCAGCCCCCAGCAGTCCCTGTCCCAGCCATGAACCCATGTTCAATAGCGCTGTCTGCAGCCAACCTGCATCAGCCTCAAGAGTCCCTGTGGGCTTCTGGGGAGTTCTCCCAAATGGGCAGGCACAGCAGAGCTGTTTCCCATGGCCTAGGAGGAAAACAACTCACACTGGTGAGGAATCCCTGTAGGCACCAAACAAGTCAGGCAACACTCACAGCATCAACACTGATCATACAGCTTCAGCACAAAACCCACCGAGCCCCAGAGCCAGGGACTAAATCTCATTTTCTTATTACAGAGCCTGTATTCCATGGTCAAGCCACGAAGGTCCCGAGTATGTTGCAACTGACTGCCATCACCACAAACATGGTCACTTACAGATTCTCCAAGACAGAGGAGATGGGAGGAAGGGCAATAACTTACTTCAAACTCATCCATCATTTTGCGGATCCCACTTCCTTTCTGGCCAATGATGTAACGGTGAAGATCAAAGGGAACTTCCACCTCAATGGTGACAGGAACCAGAGCCTGCAGGGGAGGGAGCACAGTTTATCACTTGAAAGACTTCTCCTGTCTTTCAGCTTGCCATATACTTGCCCAAAAGAACGTGTTGCTGAACTGAGGTACATTCCCTTGTAGTCAGGATACAAACTCTATAGGAAGAGAGAACAGCTGCAAACACCAAGATGACCTGTTGGTTGTTAAAGCATTTTTTCCAAACAAGCAATGTTAAACCCCACCTCTGGGGACAGGCTGTTTTCATACCCTTGGCTTCCATCTAGCAGAGACTTGGACAACATCACTAAAAGAGCATGGCAAGGTCTGCTAAAGCTAGAATGATTCAGCCTCAATCAGACTCTCTTTCTTTCCAGCTGTGCTCTATAAAACAAGCATGTCATGCTTTTATGGCAAGTAACTCGGTGCTGCCTACAAGCTCTAGCAATTGCAAGGTCAGGCACTATGATTCAAGCAGCCAGGCTAAATCACAGAGCAATCAGAGAACTCCCCTTGAGCAGTACAGACCACCTCCACAGTTAGCATCAGTGACTACCTGGATTGCAACCTTGACTGAGTAGTTTTTATTACCACCGCTAAAGCCTGCAGTGAGCTTCTTGCATCAGGGCATCACTACATTACAGGGCTAAGGGGCTTAGAAAGCCACATACCTGCAGTGCCTCCTTTGCTGCCTCACACTTCTCCCTGCGGCCAGAGATGATGATGATATCGCACTTCTTCGGAGAGCTGGGATCTGCATCCTTCCCATCCTTGCCTTCCCCACCTTCCTCGCCATTCTCCTGCACAGCTGGCTCTGCAACAGGGGCTGGAAACATGGAAAGTCTCATGTTAAATGCACAGAGCCCCCTCCTTGCTCATTATCTCCCCCTCCAGATCCTCAGGCTCAGCCTGGGCTTTGCCACAAGAGGTCAGACACTATAGACTGCTATGGAGGCAGCTTGCTATGGCTTAGCCTGGAATGAGCAGAACAACAACATCCACCGAGACAGTCTCCTCCACACCTCTCTGCACAGCACTGATATTGCCTTTCCCTGTACGGAAAGGACCTGCAGTTTTTTCCACAACAGGGAAGTTCACCAGCACAGCAGCGGATGTTACAGCAGGGTGGCTGGTGCTAGGCCAGAGTATCCAACAGGCTCCAGCTGTGCTGAATTCAGTACCCCCAGCAATGAGAGCATGAGAGATCAGAGAGACCTTGGCAAGCCTGTAGAGCTCTTTTTGCTGGGGTAGGTCACCTGCGATCTACGGTGAGAACACATTCAGAACACCCAGGTGTGCCGTTTTACCTCGTAAAACTGTCCCCCCTTCCCAAGAGGACATGGTTGATGCTAAGCCCAGATTCAACGACACTGCAGGGAACACCTGGGGTCTGTTGTCCATAGATTTTAAGTAGAACATCTCCACTGATATGGAGTGTAGGCTACACTACACTACACTCATTTGATCACCCCAGCTACCATGCGAACATGCATCCATGGATATACCTGGGTTCTCCTCCCTGTCAGGGAATTTGATCTGGACACCATAGTCCCGGGTGATCTGCTGGATCCGGGATCCTTTGGGGCCCATAATGGAGCGGTGGAACTTTTGTGGGATGGTGCATTCGATTGTCACTTGAGCTTCCTGTGAGAAAGCAGAGTTGCTCTATTGCGATGCAGCCTCTTTCACACCAGAAAACAGGACGCTTGCGCATGGTGAAATCCATAATGGACATAGCAAAGAGTTAGAAAAGATAACAGCTGCTGACAGGGGAAGAACTGAAAGTTTCCTAGAATCTTTCCTCTCTGAGAGAAGTTAGCAGAGGATGTCTTAATGAAGGCTGCCTCCAACCACGATGTTAAAGGCTGCCTCCAAACCTCTTCTGAGACCAAAGCTCAAGCTCTCTATTACCCTGAAGAGGAGGAAGCATTAGAAGAAAGGAAAAAGACAAAGAAGGAAGGCAAGGAAGAGAACAGGTTTGACAATTGCTGCTTCCAAAAAGACAATACTAACAGCACAGGAAACCCTAGAGAGCAACCACTGCCCAAGGCCTGGCATGGAGAGGCACAAGAAGGCTCCAATCTTTTAACATCTAGAAGTACACCAAGGAAGGGTCTCCTATTTCCACTCCTAAAAACCAAGAAGATGGTCAGAGAAGGCAATTCCTTCATACAGCACTGCCATTTTGGAGCCAGCTGCCATTCCCCAGGCTGGGATCTAAAGTCTGCAGACCCTGTACGTTGACAGCAAACCTTCAAGCCCCAGAACTACTGTGGGACTTGTTCACATAAAGCTTGGCTGTTCA